GTCTGATGTGTCATTGCTAAAGATGTTTTCCCAGTCCGTGGACTCTCTTATTACTCTCTTGGTGAATTCTTTTGATGTACACAGGTGTTTTATCTTCAATATATCCCATTTGTCAATTTGTGCCTCCTCTGTGTTTGTGCCCTTCCCTATTTCTGATAGCCTATGTACTCCCTGTGCCAATGTTCTCAAGTTGGTCTCAATTCCCTCAAGATGGCCCTAATAGTTTGGGGTTTAACTTCAAGGTCTGTGATCCACCTTGAGTTTATTCTTGTGCATGGAGTGAGGTAAGGGTCTTGCTTCATTTTTCTGCAGGTAAATATCCATTTTTTCCCCAGCACTATTTGTTAAAGAGGGCATCTGCTTCCCATTGGATATTTTTTTGGCCCTTATCAAAGATTAGTTGTCTGTATGTTGATGATTTTATTTCTGGGTTTTCAGTTCTTTTCCATTGGTCTGAGTATCTATCATTGTACCAATATCATGCAGTTTTGACAACTGTGGTTGTATAGTATGTTCCAAAATCAGGTAACGCAAGCCCTCCCACTGTGTCCTTCTTCTTCTTTTTTTTATTTTTTATTAAACAAAGGACTTTATTAATACAAAAAAAATACATACAAGCTATAAAGTACTACGAAGTTTAAAGCAAGGAGTCATAGCAAGTTGAAGTCATAGCACGGAGGTGGCAATTCAACATCCAGGACTGGCAGACCGCTTAAAGGAGACTGCAAGAGAGTGGACTCCCACATCAGAGAGGGCATCTTCATAGGTGAGGGGGGGTCCAAGGTCTAAGAGTTTCCCCAGTTCCCGCTCCTCGTCCAGCATCATGAGAGGAACTCCATTCAAGGAGAGGTTCGCAATCTGGTGCTCTTCAGGGAGGTCAAATCTCTCGAAGTCTAGAGGATTGAAGGGAAAGAATTGTTCTATTTCTGGATAGGCTTCATCCAAGGCAGGAACAAAGTTTTTTGCTTTGCCAGTCTTCTCAGTTATCTTCTTGGCTGAGAAGGTCGGCTGCTTATGTTTGAGGGATCCACTGGTCTTTCCGGACTTTTCTGTAGCCCTGTTGACAGTCCCCAAAACCTTTCTGGCCGCTTTGGGTAGGGCAGGTGGGGCATCAAAGACCTTACCAACATGGGGTGTCGAAATCTGAGATCTCCCTTCTAAGACTTTGCCTAAAGACCCGGACGCGAGCTTCAGGCCATCCTTGGGAGCCACACGGGTGCCAGGCTCGCCGTTCTCTTTATCAACAAAGATCAGAGTGGCCATTCCGGATGCCTCTGCTGGCCGCGGACCCGGTTTCCCCACCACGCCAGCAACCTCCGACACGCACCAACAGCCAGACTCGCTCAAGACGCAGCTGCTCGCGGGCGTGCCAGCCGCGGCCTGTGTCCTTCTTCTTGACGAGTAGTCTGCTATTCTGGGCTTCTTCTCTCTCCATATGAATTTCATTTCCTTGAAGAAAGATGAGGATAATTGTATTGGGATTGCTATAAATTTATACAGTGCCTTTGGCAGAACTGACATCTTGACTATATTGAGTCTTCCAATCCACGAGCATGGGATATTCTTCCATTTGTTGAGGTTGCTCTCGGTTTCTTGTAATAGTGTTCTGTAGTTTTCCCCAGATAGATTTTTTGTTCTTTTAGTCAGGTATATCCCTAGATATTTCAATCTGTGCTTGGCTATTGTGAAGGGTACCACCTTTTTGATCTCCTCTTCTACGGTCTTATCTGATGTGTATAACAGTCTAATGGACTTCTGTTTGTTGATCTTGTATCTTGCCACTCTCCCAAACTCCTCTATTGCTTCCGGTACTTCCCTTGAGGAGCTTTTGGAATTTTCCACCTATAAAATCATATCACCTGCAAATAATGGTAGTTTCACTTCTTACTTCCCCAGACAAATACCTTTGGTGTCTTTTCTTTGCCTTATGCTGTTAGCTAAAACCTCCAGCATGATACCAAATAAGAGTGAGGACATGGGGCATCCTTGTCTGGTCCCCTTTTTCAGTGGGATTTTGTTCTTCTTTTCTCACTACCAAGTTGGCTGTTGGTTTTTCATATATAGCTTGTATAGTCTTGAGGAATTTTCCTTCTATTCCTATCTTCTACAGTGTCTTAAACAGGAATCGGTGTTGGATGTTGTCCAATGCTTTTTCTGCATCTATTGATATTTTCATGTGGTTCTTATAGTTTTTCATGTCAATGTGGTGAATAATACTAATGGTCTTTGGTATGTTGAACCATCTCTGCATCCCTGGTATGAATCCCACTTGGTCATGGTGAATTGTTTGTTTTATATACTTTTGTATTCTGTTGGCTAGTATTTTGTTAAGGATTTTTGCATCGATGTTCATTAGGGATATTGGTCTGTAGTTCTCGATTCTTGTG